TTCATTTACCCACACTGATCTATCGACTCCTACGGTGCAGTCATCGCTACGGTGATCTGTCCATGCTTGTAGCCTCTTACTACTTTTGCACATTAATAATAACACTCCTTTCATATTAATAAGTGCTTCACCTTTTTAGGGAAGACCCAAGAGTCTACATTGGTGCCTGTGACAAACGAGCCCGATCCAAATGAATAAATAGTCTGACTGCATTGAATAAGTACCGCACAGTAACAGTATATCTGCAGGGATCATCTAGAGGGCAAAAATTTACTTTTGAAAGCCACCTCAACCCCAAGTCCCCTACAGTGCATATGGGCAAGGCGACCAATTTTGAATCAATTGGAATCATTACTAAGGAAACTATTCACAATCCGTCCGTAACTGTTTTATGAATGACAGTTGACATACAGAATATACTCTTCGCAGTATTTAGTGTTTGGCCTATCAGAGGACAGAATAACGAGTAACCTCAACTAAATCCACAGCTTATCCACACTCTTCCTGTCAAGTTCATTCACGTCTGGGAGTTGATCCTAATTTAGAGATCAACAAGGTGCAGCTGGAATAGAAGAGTGCCAGTGAAGGGTCGTCATCTGAAACCAGTTTCGACCGATTTACGGTTTGATCCTCCCTTTGTAATTTTGGCATCCGGTTCACGCTTATAACTCCCTAGTGTATCTGTACGTTTATAGCGAACCCGATTCAAGACCAACGTTTCTTACAATGGGGTGGTTTTGGGGGCTCTACTTTGATTGAAAAAGGAACCAAGAAAAGCCTAATTTGGTTGCTCGGATATCACAGCTAAAATTCACAGGGGGAAGGCACTCGAAATCGCTTTGACGTTTAACAAGTTTAGCAAGCTTTAGTTTCGTCTAACAACTAGTTAAACGAAATAACCAGCACTTATTAAAAATCTTTAGGGGTGTTTTAATGAACATGATGATTTTTAGAAAAAATAGTCTTCATGTTCCTCATACTGCTTTTTATGAAAGATCTCTACCAAAAGCAGTCGGTAAACAAAATATTCTCTCTGTAAATCATTATTCGGCACAAACTTCAAAACGAGTCTCTCCCTAAAACGAGTTCCTCTTCAAGGATGAGTCCATTTAAGTCCTACCATTGATGAAATAATGATTGTTCACCTTACCTCGCAAATTCAACACAAGATCTCCATTCTAGTTTAATAGTTAAAGTTCACGGAAACTCTTGTCAGTCAAATCAGAAGAGGGACTAGCAGATAATACACGAAACCACGAAAGCAGTTTTTTAGCAATAATACCTGCCCCTAGCGAACCCCTCATTCTTATGGCCCCCCCAACCATCCTCTAAGGTTATAATAACCCTTTCTCCATAAAGTCATGTTATTTTAATTCAACGGGCATGCAAATTTATTCAAAGGAGGCTAGTTTCACTTCGCTGCTTTGGAGTGTTTTTCAAGACTGAAGGTGAGGTCAAGATGGAACATAATCCGACCATAAGGCACACAGGGTCATTAAGTCCTGTTGCCTGCAAAATCCATCTTCGACTGCAACTAACTGCTCCCCTGCAAGCGTCTGCGGGCCTTCGAGGCCATAAAATTTGCCAGCGATTAACTGTCTCTAATATCCGGCAGCGTTTAACTCTAACAAAACCACTGCATAAGATAAACTTAAGCGCGCCAAATTTATCCACTTTCTAAAAAGCATTGAAATGAATTGAAGAATAGGATTTGCTTTCGTGTAGAGGAATTTTTCTCACGATTTTGCAGATGATGCAAGCAAAAGCGAGTGGTGAAGTTATGCATAAAGGGAGAAGAGAGCACTCTCCTCATTCGAGGAAAATAAGTTAAATTAAAAAGCGAAGGGATCAAAGGTTTGGAGGATTTGAAGTGCTTAAACTGTGTAATTAAAACACTGAAGATAATTACGCCCTTTGAGATGAGGACAAAACACGGGACAATCAGAAGTAATTACGGTGCAGTTTGTGCAAAATACG